TTTATCTCCGATTCTGTGAGGAATTATAATGTGACCCTCCGCCAAAAGTGGTTTGCATTTCAATCCTACACAACATATTTTTTGTCTGGAATTTTTTGAGGTTTTTTTTTTTTTTTTTTTTTGGCGCTGGGGCTGCCCGGAACCCTGCCCGGGCAGAAGTTGGGTGCCCGGGCGCCCGGGAAAACAGCCTAGTTTTAACGCCTTTTGTTGATGCTGCCGGAGGTGATAAGAGGAGCCCAGGTGGCAAACAATGTTATTCACGAATTATTATACTAAACAATACTAGTGTTCAGGGGATGTACCCAATTTCTATCAATATGTTGGAGGCTCCACATATAAGCAGGGGGGAAGTGCTTTTTTTTTTTGGGGGGGGGGGGGGGGGGGGGGGGGGGGGAACCTCACCGCGGCCTACTAGTGGGGTGAGATAAGAGCATCCTTACTCTTATAAACCCCCAAAGTTGAAACCCGGACGAAAGGTTAAAAAAAAAAAAAAAGCAATCATTACATTTATGTTGAGTTTAGTTGTTTGGGCAACGTTGTCTACCTCCTTCTCCTCCTCCTCCCTCTCCTCCCCCTCGTCCTTCAATTTATTTTGTATTTTTAAATATGATTACATATCAGGGGTAACACCTAACAATATTATTTTCCTCGTTATCGTTGCCCTCCTCCTCCTCCTTCTCCTCCTCCCTCATCCTCCTTGTTGTCGTTCTTCTCGTGGTGATTGTCCTTCTCCTTCTCCTCTTCCACCTTTTTTTTTTTTTCATCTCCCCCTCCCCCTCCTCCTCCTGTCTTCTGTGTTTACGGATCCGGACAAACGCGCACACACACACACACACACACACACACACTCGTTTTTTTTTTTTTTTTTTTTTTTTTTTTTTTTTTTTTTTTTTTTTTTTTTTTTTTTTTTTTTTTTTTTTTTTTTTTTTGGTAAAGGGAGCATGTCGATCATCATTACATTCATTTGATAATTTTGATTCAATGAGGAATGAACTTACCAGGCCTCGCTCCATTACAGAACACTATACATGCATTTGGATGTTTCTTGTACCAAGTGCATTTGGAAGAGTCCAACATTTTGAATGTATAAGGTTCAAAAATTGTCCGAATACATGACAGACTGTTGATGACTCAATGTGTAATCTACTACATTTTATTAAAGTTTATATGATCCTAACTAGACTCTGCCCATATGTGAGATGGCCCGTATGATAAGTTGCATGTTTTCCCGCATCTATCAACGGGGTCCCAGAAAACGGGACTGAGAAAGTGTCGGCCAAGAAAAAGTACTAACCGCGTGACCAATCTAACCGCGAAAAAAAAAGATGGAAAAACATATTGTGCATTATACGATGATGGGCCTCGACGAGGCACTCACAAACTGCACAAAAAAGTAAATTTGGTGGTGTAAGGTGGTGTATCAATATTCATTCTCATTTTACACATTTGTCGAGCGGCGTGGTGAGGCTGGGTATCTCAAGGCTAAATTATTTCCTTCTTTTTTTTTTCGTTTCCATACTTGCCTTTTTTTGGCTTTTTTTTTTCGGGGGGGGGAGGGAAGTGAGGAAACCTTTATTCATGAAAACATGAGGCAAAGAATCCTCACAAACAACCCGGAACGAACACCAACAATGTACTGGGACCAATACCCAGTTTGGTAGTGGGATTTTCCCAACGACACATGACAAAGCTAGTTTTGCCCGCCTGGGGCCAAGTCTGGAAGACCTTATAATTCTAAGTTGTTTTATTATTATTATTATTATTATTATTATTATTATTATTAAAATAAATGTTCCAATTTATTCATGGGGAAAAACAAGTGTTAGGAACCAGGCCCAGCGTCCCTTATAATTGGAATACATTGATGATTGATGAAATTTTGGGATGACTCAGGAACACTTCAGGATGATTGAGATAATAAGTTAGATATTGAAGCTGATAACTCAAAGTGCTTATCTACTCAGATTTAACATTCTACCCTAACCATAATCTCAGATATCCATACCAACCAGCCAGTCTCTACCCAACTAATCATGTATACCAACCAAGCCTCTCCCCGGTCTCACACCCCAATCTAGCTAGGTTACATGGCAGTGCCACCCACCCCAGCGCCGACCCTCGTCAGCCAGATTGTAGCCTTTGGTCAAGTATTGTAATTGCCTTCCACCCTCATCAATCCCCAAATCTTTATTCAAGGCTTCAAGCTCCTATTTAGGTTACAGGGTGATGCCCTAGCACCGACCAACGTTGTTCTGGATGCTACTCAACCTGGGCAAGAACACAATTAAAACTCAATTAGAAAATCAGCTAGACTATAATGTAACCTAAGAATTCTGATAAGATAATAGTGGGATCTTGAGCAAACAACCAATCTGATGGTAATGGTGATGGTGATGGTGATGATGTTGATGATGTTGATGACGTTGATGACGTTGATGATGATGATACTTGATGTTGATTGACCCTCCCCTGTTCACCTTTCCTCTTTTCCCCTCTTACCACCCCTCCTCTCCCTTGCTGTCTCCGCTAATTAAAACCATTATGTTGTTGAATGGTTCCTCACAGCCCCAACAATAGGAAAACCTCTCTCTACCCTACTCCCCTCAAAGAAGGTTGTTCCCCCCAAAAGCCTACCTCAAGCTATCTCTGCCCTACTCTGCCATCGCTAGTAGATGATGTTCCGCCTTCCATTTTTCCCAGCCCCAGAGTTAGACAATCCCCCTTGTCTGCCCTTATTCCCTACTTCCCACCTTGTGTTTCCCCTGCAGAAAAGAGATCTCCCACTCAATCCATCCTGCCCTCCACGTCAACAACCTTGTGGGGAGGATTTTTACAACCACAAGTATAAAAAAGAACAGGGAAATACGAATTGAGTGGTTGATGATGATGATGATGGTGATGATGGTGATGATGATGATAATGGTTGATGAAGCTGATGAGAATAGAAAACTCAATGAGATGATGACGACAAGAACAACCCTAGGCCCATTCTATTCTACCCTACAGTAAGCAATCTCTTTTTGAGCTCCGTCTAATTCGACCGAGTGGATCTTCGATCCCCTTCCACCTTGACACTCTCTTCCACGACTTCCCTCTTGCCTCCTACTGGGATGGGATAATGAATCCTTTGTTGTAATTTGCACTGCGGATAAAGCACCCGAGTGCCCCGGTCGATCAAGCTGGTTAGACACTCCGAGAACACTAACCCCTCTACCTCCCCTATCTTAACTAACTTATCCTTATTTGCCCAGGTTTCCACGAACCATCTTCTGGCCTGCTGTCTATTCTTGCTCTTGGCGACCTTTCTGTCCCAGTTCGCAGCTATGGCGTGGCTGATCATATTTTTTTGAAAGTGTGTTTCATTTCGCTGTCGTGCATGTTTTCATTTTGAAGACCTACTTGTTCCTACCCTGCTGGATGACCCAGATCAACACCGCCCTAATTACTTGCGCCACGTATCCCCAACCTTTTTCGAGGCTCAGTCCTTCTGGAACTCCTCCCAATAGTAACCACAGTTTATCCCAGGTCAAGGTATTGTCTGAGGTTTCCTCCCATTTCGCATTCCACCAGGGTGTAGCGGCCATAGAGAGCAGCCATAGCCATGCTGCCAACCGTTGTGACGGCATAGTAGTAAGCTGTTGCCAGCGTCTATCCTTTATCTTGATGATCTTCTTCGGCTCCATCTGCAGTAGTTTTGCCCATTGCTCTGAGGCCACCATTTTTTTTTATTTATTTTTTTTAAACTGGCTTTCTGCCATGTCATGGAACATATATATGACGATATATATATATATATATATATATATATATATATATATATATATATATATATATATATATATATATATATATATATATATATATATATATATATATATATATATATATATCTTTTTCCCTTTTACTACCTACCACTACTCCTAAACCACAAGTACCTCGCCCAGTGTGGGGAAATTAGGGAAAACTGGCAGTTTTCCCAAACTCCTGAGAATTCGGAGGCCGGGCCCGACGACGGCTGCCATTGATAAATCTGATCGGCGGCGGTCGTTTCGTTTTGGCCATCCGAAAAGGTCTGAGGCCCACCCGAGGCCCGCTATTTTCCCACACGGCAAGGTACTAGTGGTCTAAGGGTATACAGAGGCCCCCTGCAAGCATGGCTTTGTATCTCTCTTCGGTAAAGGGGGGTTACCTCTCTTGGTGGAGGGAGGTAAAGGCATGCCCTAGGGTTTAGGGTGCAGGGTTGGGGCTGCCAGCGATGTACCGTTTAGGGTGCAGGTTTGGGGCCGCCAGTGGGGCCCCAGCTAACACAAAAGGACCGAGCGTTTGCCAAGTAACTGTACCTCCCTTTTCATCTTCCCCCCACCCACATCGAGTCTAAAGCCAACTCTTTCTCCCACAAACCATTCACACACACACACACACACACACACCCAAAAAAAAGAAAAAAAAAGAAAAAAAAAAAGAAGAAAAAAGCCATTCACACGCGCACTAACACCCGTGTTGGCCGGAAGACCTTACTAATCGCCCCATGGCTGACCAAATGTGCAAAGTGCGAAATAATCTTCTGCTACCCCTCTTCCCCCGAACACAACGCACCCTTATTTTGGCTGTATCTGGCCGCAAACATAGCTTGTATACATTCATTTTTAGGGTGCGTTATGTTCGGGGGAGGACGGGTAGGGTGCAGAAAGATACGTCGCCCTAATTTTTGTCTTTTGTGCATTTGGTTAAGTGGCGCGGCGAGGCCCGATGTACACTTTGTTCCGCTCGTCCAGTTGCACATTCCAATAGTTCATTAGTTCATTCACGGGTGTGCTAACTGAGGGCATACTCACACGGGGGTACCAAAAGTCTAAAAAATTTGGGTCTTTTGGGTCTTTTGGGTCTTTTGGTCCTCGTGTGAGTATGCCCTGCGCCACCCTCAAAGCACAAATACAGACCCACATTCGCTTCCTCTTGCAGCGGTGTTGAGATTTTCCGTTTCGGAGCGCCGGCTGGAGTGGAAGGGTGGGCAAAGGTTTTCTCCACGGCGACAGTAGTTTCGTTGGCAGCGCGTGCGGGCTGCGTTCAAACAGCCGCAGGTGTGCTCTCTCTCTCTCTCTCTCTCTCTCTCTCTCTCTCTCTCTCACACACACACACACACACACACACACATACGCACACACACACGCACGGAGCACACAGAGCGGTGGAGGGGGAAGAGTTTCCTTTCACAATCTGGGTAGAAAAAGAAATAGGTGGATTCCGCCGGCTTGGCGACGTGCAGCCTCTCTCCCTGCCTCTCTCTCTCTCTCTCTCTCTCTCTCTCTCTCTCTCTCTCTCTCTCTCTCCGCCCCTAACTCCCCAAGATGGGGAATAGATTGATGAAAATAGGTGAATGGATTGATTAGAATAGCCTTTAATAGGTGAATGGATTAACGAATAGATCGTCTAAACTCGGTGAACAACAACTTGAAGCGGTCATCGCTGTCGTCGGTTGATTTTTCTGCTTCTGTGTTTCTTCATACTCACCGCCGTCATCGAGTACTATTTTAATTACTTAATCCGAATCCATCGACATGCTAAACTCATCATCTGATTTTTACTCGAGCACGTCTTCACCATCTGACTCTAAAATCGCCAACATCGAGAACAAGAGTTCCAAACAATAGACGTCGATCGTAATATCGCTCCTGCAATTATGGTATCAGGAAGGAAGGATCAGAGAGTCTTGAGTGTTTTTTTTTTTTTTTTTTTTTTTTTTTTT